TAGGGTTCCTATGAGTCAGAATCAACTCAACAGCACATAACAACAATATTCCTTTCTCTGTCCCACCTGCCCACAGGACTCACCACTTGCTGCCTTCTTGGTATTGCTAAATAGTTTCTAGCTCTCAGTATATTAATTTCAATCAGTTCTTATTCTTGATATCATCACTAACATTACATTAGACCAATGATGGAAAAAGGTGCTAAAAGGTGTAGTATATAATATTTTGATTTGCATACTCCAGAATTACTTTATCAGTTAAATAGCTTGAAAAAGTTTAAGTCCCTTATGAAATGCTGAGGATTTAATAGGTATTTAATGCTGGGAGATAATTTTTAATAATTGTTAGTCAAACTGAATTTTTAAAATCCTTAAAACATAGGAAAGCAGTGTCTCCCAAACTTAATGTGCATATGAATCACCTAGAGATTTTGCAAAAATGCACATTCTGACTCATTAATCTGAGGTGGGGCCAAGATTCTGCATTTTTATCAAGTCCCCACGGGATGGTGATGCTGCTCATCTGACACTACATTTTGAATAGTAAAGTTCTAAAAGTGTATATATAATTAAAAAAGACATCACATGGATACAATATAGTATAAAATGTGGCATATTTAATAAATGCTCATTTTAAATATCAAATTAAGTAATAAACACCTTAGATGAGTAGATTTTTTAAAATCCTTAACTTTCGTTACTCAAAAAAACAAAAAAGGAAAAAGTAATAAGACAACTGAATGGATGCAAAAATACTTAAAAGAGGGTTATTCCAGAGCCCTGGTGGCACAGTGGTTAGGTGTTAGTCTGCTAACCAAAAGGTCGGCAGTTTGAATACACCAGCTGCTCCTTGGAAACCCTGTGGGGCAGTTCTCTGTCCTATGGGATCGCTATGAGTCAAAATTGACTCGATGGCAACAGGTTTGTTTGTTTTTGGTATGGAGCAGTAGGAGCCCTGCTCCCATAAAGTCACAGCCTAGGAAACCCTATGGTGCAGTTTCACCCCGCCTTATAGGGTCACTATGAGTAGAAATGGTCTCCACGGCACACAACAACAACAACAGAGCAGTGGTTCTCAGATTTGGCTGCCCACTGAGGAATCACCTGGGGACTTTACAACATACTGATGTCAATCCATCCATAAGATTCTGATTTTATTGGCCTAATGTGCCAATAAAACTTTCCAGGTGTTTCTAATGTACAGCCAAGGTTGAAGACCTTTGACCCATAGCTTCCGAGTTTTCCCAGGTGAAAAATAAGGATGACCTTGCACCCTTAAGACAAAGTCCATACAGGGTTACAAAAGACCAACAACTTGTAGGCGCCCTTTAATGTTATGTAAACTTGCCCTCACTTTGAAAGAACTGAACCAACAAATTCATCATCACAATCATCTTCACTTGCTGCACATGTGCAGCTTTTAAATCATTGAAAAGGCTTCGAGCCTTTTCTTGTACTAAACCAAAAACCAAACCAAACCTGTTGCCAAGCCTAGTGACCCCATCCCACTGGCACTTGTGAAAGGCAGCCCCACCTTCTGGAACCGAATTGGTTGTTTTCAATCATAGGGAGAAAGCATCCAGTTTCTCACCATTAAGTGTGATGCTAGCTGTAGATTCTTTGTAGACGTCATTTATCAAATTGAAGATGTTTACTCTGTTTCTAGTTTGCTAAGGGTTTTTATCATGCGTGTGGTACAGCATTTTAACAGAATGAAAGGGAAAAAGAAAATCCTATCTCTAATAAGTCAACTGGTTTTCCGTTTTTTTTCATACTTCAAAAGAGCTCCATCTAATAGGGGAGAATACAATGTATAATTATGTAAACATGGATAGACTTGGGTAAATAAATATCTTATGCATACATAATGACACATAATTGGTGATTAGAATATGAATTTAATTTTGTAATGTTGCTTTTTCAGTCACTTATAGGTCATTTTCAATGGTCCTACATAGACTTCAAAAATCAGTTTTGATGTCTCCAGATTTATTCATTAATTCATTTCAAAGCATTTATTATCTATTATATATCAGGTACTATATTTCTCCGTGGGAGAAAGATACGGCAATCTGCTTCCATAAAGATTATAGCCTTGGAAACCCTACAGGGCAGTTCTAATTTGTCCTATAAGGTTGCTATGAGTCGGAATCGACTCGATGGCAACAGGTTTTTTTCACTGTATTCCTGATAGAGATACAAAAAAGGGACCTAACAATCATAGAAACAAATGCCTAATAATATAATGTGTTTAAGTTGCATTTATGGCAATATGAGCAGAAAGTTTTGGGAACTTGGAGGATGGATGGGACATCTAACTCTCTGGGGAGAACACAAAATTCTTCTCCAAAGAAGTGGCATTTTATTTGAGTCTTAAATGATGAATAGGAATTTTTCAGATGAAAAAGGGATGGACAAGTCAGGCATGGGGGATATGTGCAAAAGTTTAAATTTGTGCAAGAGCTTAGACTGTTTTGGGAACAATTTAGTGACTCAGAAACTTGGATTCATTGAAGGAAGCAGTCAAAGAAGATTAAAAAGGTAGATTGGGCTAGATTGTGAGATATCCTCCATGTTAAGATAAGGAATTTAGTTTTCCAGGTGGAATCAACAGAAACCATTAAGCAGTAGAATGACAGGATCTGCTCTTATTTAATTGGATACCTATAAAGTGGTGTGGAAGATAAATTCTGTGTCATATTCATATACCACAACTTACTAAACCACTCCCCTATTTTGGGGGCCTTTTAAGTTGTTTCTAATTAGTTGCTATCTATACATGTATATATGTGTATATATTCAACTCTTTTTGAGATAAATTTTGACGTGTTTCATTACTTTGTTGTACTTTATATAAAATGTACTTCTTTCTATATATGTTTTTCTCAATACAATTCAACAAATATCTATTAAACATTTACTAAATACTGTTTATTATTTTAGATGTCATGGGGAAAACCAAATCTAGTTTGGGGAGATAAAGAAGATACTATAAGACATTACAGAGGTCTTTGAAGCCTAAGCTCAGATATATGAATGGATTCTATAGGAAATGGGGCAAAATCAGTGATATAGTCACAGCAGTGCCCTCAAAAGAATATGTAGGTTGAAATAGTCAGGATAAGTTAGAAGAGACTTGAAACATGTGAAAGTATTGTTAGCCAAAGGAAATGAGATCTTGGGGTTTGGGGCAGAGGCAGGGACAGGAGACATAGAAATGATCAATTAAGGATTCCTAGACTAAAATATTCTCCAAAAAAAATGGGAGGAACACCATCCAGTATGTGGATAAAGCCAACAAACACTGTCCTTTGTGATCAGTTAATGTTTGATAATGTCCAGTGTCCCAATCAATATCTGTTCATTTCTGGAAGGGAAAGGGGGATCAAATTGGTTAAGGTGATTTTCCATAATCAGAACAATTTTTAAAAATCCAATAGACTTGAAAACTTGTCATTTGTGACATCTCATTGACAAAATAATAGGCTTGATAGATATTGCATTTTTTTAATGTGATCATCACAACAACCCCATGAGGTAGTTATTGGGAAGTTTTTGAGGAAGCAAAGTTTTGGTGTCGGGGAGAGGACACTGAATTGGAGATTACTCTCATCTGGAGCAGTGCTTCTCAGCTTTCATGTTCCTCTGAATCACTTGGGGATTTTGCTAAAAATGCATATTCTGATTCAGTAAGAGTGGGGTGGGACCTGACAGTCTGCATTTTTAACCCCTGCTGCTGGTCCACAGACCATACTTTAGGTAGCAAGGACCTAGAGCAGAGGTTCTCAAGTTTCAGTGTAATTTGTTGGGCATTTAGCTTGTTTCCTTTCTATATTGTAAATAAGGCTGTAATTAACATCCTTTAATGTAAACCTTTGTTTCTTTAATATGAATGTCTTTAGTATAATTGCCTAGAAGTAAATTAATGATTCAAAGGCTAGGTAAGTTTCAAGGGTTTTCATATATATTGTGACATTCTTTCCAGAAAACATTGTACTAACTTACACTCTTTCTAGTAAAAACTCCCATTTACCTCATTTTTACTAATACTGAGTACTAGTCTTTTAAAATATTCTTTATATTTAATTATATATTCTATAGTAATATGTTTATAATGTATATTAAATATTTTATTTTTAAATTATATACGATTGGTTATTAATATAACTATAATATACATGTATAATTTACATATTTAAATTATACACATTTAAATACATGAAAATATTTAAAAGACTTTCTTAGCTAGGCAGTTCTCACTTGGAGTCTTATGTGGTTGCAATCATATGACAAGTCGGCCTGGACATCTGATATGGCCCCTTTGCTCACATGTCTGGAACTCAGCTGGGATAGCTAGAATTCCTGGGAGCTGTCCACATCTCTCTTTATCCCCAGCATTCTTTCCATGTGTCTAATTGAGGCTTCCTCACAGTGTAGAGGTCTCAGGGTGGTTGGATTTCTTACATAGTTGCTGACTTCCATCACAATAAGCTTTCCAAGAGACCTATGCAGAAGCTACAAAGCTACTTATGACTTAGTCTCAGAAGTCATGCAGGGTCATTTCAACTGCATGCTGTTGGTCAAAAGCAAGTGACAAAGCCAACTCAGATTCAAGGGGAAGGGACTACACAAGGGTGTAAATACTGGGAGGTATGGCTCATGGAGCCCTGGTGGCACAGTGGTTAAAGCACTCAGCTGCTAACTAAAAGGTCAGTGGTTCGAACCTACCAGCTGCTCCACAGGAGAAAGATGTCACAATCTGCTTCCATAAAGATTTACAGCCTCAGAAACCCCATCGGGCAGTTCTACTGTGTCCTGTAGTGTTGCTGTGAGTTGGAATCAACTCAATGGCAGTGGGTATGACTCATATCCAACACTGTGTATGTGTATGTGTAGTTTAATTGCATTTCTTTCAAAATACTTTTTCAAATGTTTATTGACTATTTATAAACCGTAAAGTTGATTCCAAAATTGCTATGAATGCTTCTTATTTACTGCAGGAGAATCCTGAAGAAGGGCGGGCCAGTATTTACAAATCAGTGATCGTCAATACTTCCAAGGAGATGATGTGCTTCAGTGACTATCCCATCCCAGATCATTATCCCAACTTCATGCACAACTCCCAGGTCCTGGAATACTTCAGGATGTATGCCAAAGAATTTGACCTTCTAAAGTATATTCAATTCAAGGTAGGGAATTTTGTGGATATCTTTGTGGTTGAAGTTTTTGTCAAATAAATGAGTAACATGGTTTCATTTACAAGTGTTGCATTTAAAGATTGACTTGATAGGCTATGTATCTATCCTACCCAGACAAAAACTCTATTCTTTGTCCCCTCCGTGTCTGAAGAATGTTCATGGAAAAGTTTTTCTTCCATATGTTTTGGCTGCAGATCCAGTAAGCCACGTGCCAGAATGCTTTCGTTGTCTTCATTTTACACAATTTGATTTCAATAAAACATGAGGTGAGGGGAAGTTTTTTGCCCTATTACAGAGGGAATTTTAAAACTTTCTGGCCCCACTACTTGTCTGCTACTGCTCAGCACTTTCTCAAAGTGCTTTCCAATGTGTTATTTTATATGATCACCACAACAACCCAGTGAAGTACTTCTTGGAGGTTACTGAGGAAGCAAGTAAGATAACTCTGGTATAAAGGGAAGAACATTGAACTTGGGAACAAAGACCTGAGTGCTGGTCTTTGCTTCACCACTAATTAACTTGTGACCTCAGACAAGTAAGTTCCTCAACTTCTATTTGTCTTAACTGCCTTGTTTGTAAAACAAGATGATTATACTAGATCATTTCAGTGGTTCCTTCCTGCTCAACAGTCTCCTGTGGTTTTTCTGTAATTCTTAACCATATCTTAAAAGGGCAGATATTTATGACAGCTGGTAAAAAGTCGAGATTTCTTGCCTTCAGATCATTCTGCTAAATAATGCCTTCTCTTGTTGCTTTAACAATAACAAAATGGTAGTATCCAGTGAGAACTTCCACAGTATTGCTTCTCTTCATTTGTTTAAGCAACACTTAAGAACAGGTTTATTACCATACTAAGCAGTGTTGATGCAAAGATTTAAAAAAAAAAAAAAAAAAAAAAAAAAACCAGCAAGCACAGACTAGTTGGGGAAACAGAAGAATAAAGAGAGAGTGAGAGGGTGATAAGTGCCATAGATATCTGTACATTATAGCTCAAAGGAGGGATTCTTAACCATTGGGGCATGAGGTATCAGGCACCAGGGAATTCCTAGAGGAGGTGATGTCTGTGCTAAAGGGGGAATAAAACCAAATAACCACACCTGTTGCCATGGAGTCGATCCCAACTCATAGCGACTCTATGGGACAGAGTAGAACTGCGTAGTAGGGTTTCCAAGGAGCAGCTGGTAGATTCAAACTGCTGACCTTTTGGTTAGCAGCTGAGCTCTTAACCCCTGCACCACCAGGACTCCAAAGGGAGAGTTGGGGCCTGCTAAATGAAGCAAGAATAAAGGGTGATCCAGGCAGAGGCACCAGCCTATGTAAAAACAATAACATGATAGAGAGGAACTGTAAGTAATGCAGGATGGCTGGGGCATACAGGGGTAGGTATCTCTATTAGTCCACCAAGCTGTTATGGTCACAGGGTTCTACAGGCACATAGGAGCATATTCTTGGTATTTCCTTAGACTGAATAGAGTAAACCTTGTTTATTTATTATCTTATTTTTTTAAGCTAAAGATTATACTACTGACAATCCCATCTCACAACCTCTTTATAGTTATTTGTAAAGTAGGAATTTATGAAAGCCAAAGAGTGGTTTGTTTACATAAAATAGAAGACACTGAAATGTTTTTCTGCTCCACCCGGGAATGGACCCCTATAGCTCATTCACATGTTTAAGGCTAGCCAGTGAGAACAGGACTTGACAGAAGAAGGCATCAGAGGGTTCCAGGATCTCTGGGGGAAGAGGGGCGTTACTGCATGGAGTGTCATAAAAGCACAGAAGAAGCCCAGGTTTTATTCAGGTATCACAGTACCCTAGGGCATGGTCCAAGAAACGGTAATTTGCAGTCCTCTAGGAGCAGAGGTCCCTGGGAGGCATAAAGTGTTTGTGCTCGATTACTAACCTAAAAACATTGGTGGTTCGAATCAACCCAAAATCACCTTGTAATAAAGGCTTAGCAATCTGCTTGCATAAAGAAAACCCTTATGGAGTAGTTCTACTGTGTTTAACACATGGGATTGCCATGAGTTGGAATTGACTTGACAGCAATAGGTTTTAGAAGCAGAGCAGATGCCAGCAGCCATCTAAGATAGAACTGTTGGTCTCTACTTGTCAGGAGCAAAAGAGAAAGAAGGAAACCAAAGTCTCAGGGAAGAAACTAGTCTAAAGGGCTAATAGCCTACATGAGCCACGGCTTCATCCGTCCTGAGACCAGAAGAACTAGAAGGTGCCTGCCTAACACTATTGACCGGTCTAATCAGGGCCATAATAAATGGACCCTAACAGAACTGGAGAAATATGTGGAGCAGAACTCAAATTCTTAAAAAGTCCAGACTTACTGGACGAGCTGAGACTAGAGGACTCCCTGAGACTATCGCCCTGAGATAATCTTTAAACCTTGAACCATAACTGTCCCCTGAGGTCATCTTTTAAAGAACAGATTGGAACACAAAAATAAAGGATATCATCCATGATTATGGTGCTCAATTAAAAAACCATCTATATGAGATCAAAAGGTCAACAATTACTCTAAAGCGAAGATCAGAAGATAAGGAAGGGAACAGGGAAACTAGAGTACTGGAAACAGAACAACCAGAATGCAATTAAAGAGAACGTTGACACATTGTGAAAAATGTAACTAATGTCACTGAACAATTTGTGTAGAAATTGTCAAAGGGAACCTAATTTGCTGTGTAAACATCACCGAAAACACAATATAATATTTAAAAGAAATGGAGGAGAATACAGCATTAGCCTAACAACTCTGTTTTACTTAGCCTGCCTGATAGAAGTTTTCTCACTCTGATGGCAGCCAAAAAAAAAAAGTCAAATATTTCCTGCATGACCCTACGATGTAATGATGCCTGTGGTCTCAGCCTTTTGTGTAACACTCTGTAAGGAGAGTCATGTCAGGCAAGGTGTCTCCTGTATAGGCTACTTATAGTCCTCTCTGGCTATTATTTTTCTTTTCAGACCACTGTATACAGTGTGAGGAAGAGGCCTGATTTCTCTGCTTCAGGCCAGTGGGATGTGGTGACTGAGTCTGATGGGAAAAAGGAGGTAAATGTCTTTGATGGAGTCATGGTTTGCACCGGCCATCACACGAATGCTCACCTACCCTTGGAAAGCTTCCCTGGTGAGTAGGCTACCAGGAAGGAGGACCCTTGAACCATGTCTGTGACCTGACCCCTGAAGAATAGGAGTATTGCAGTCTCAGTGTTCCCAACCTTAGGATGAAATAATGCTTAATTCTGTATGTGCCCCTGGTGTTTGGATAACTTGAATTACTGCAGTTTTGGGGGGTAGAGGTAATAGTACTTTGGGAGTTTAGAGGAAGATTAGTTTTTCTAAGGATCAAAAGAAAAAACATGAAGTTTTTGGTCAACATTATGTTGAATGGAGAATTTTTGTTTTGTTTTGTTTTGTTTTTTATTTTTTTGTACGTCAGGTGAAGGCTTACAGAACAAATATTTTCTCATGAAACAGTAGTACACATATTGTTTTATGACATTGGTTAACAACCCCACAACATGTCAACCCTCTCCCTTCTCAACCTTTTTTTTTGGTGAAAATATACATAGCCAAAGGCACACCATTTCAAAAATTTCTACATGCACAGTTCAGTGACATCGACTACCCTCTTCCAATTGTGTTGCTATTCTCACTTAAGATGAAGGCTTACAAAACAAAATAGTTTCTCATTTAACAGTTAGTACACATGTTGCCCTATGACAACCTCACAACACATTAACACTATCCTTACTCAACCCTGGGTTCCCTATCACCAGCTTTCCTGTCCCCTTCTGCCTTCTGGACGTTGTCCCTGGACTGCTGTGCCTCATTAGTCCCATTTGGTTTTATGGGGCTGTCCACTCCCCAGCTGAACAGTGAACCTTGGAAATGACTTCACCACTGAGCTAAAAGGGTGTCTGGGGGCCATACTCTTGGGGTTTCTCCAGTCTCCTTTAGGCCAGTAAATCTGGTCTTTTTTTTGTGAGTTAGAATTTCGTTCTACATCCTTCTCCAGCTCTGTCCAGAACCCTCTGTTGTGATCCGGGTCGGAGCAGTCAGTGGTGGTAGCTGGGCACCCTCTAGCTGTACTGGACTCAGTCTGGTGGAGGCCTTGGTAGCTGTGGTCCATTAGTCCTTCGGACTAATCTTTTCCTTGTATCCTGTTCTCTTCATTCTCCCTTGCTCCCGAAGGGATGAGACCAGTGGAGTATCTTAGATGGCTGCTCACAGGCTTTTAAGACCCCAGACGCTACTCGCCTAGGTAGAATGTAGAACATTGTGATTATAAACTGTGTTATGCCAGTTGAGCTAGATGTTCCCCAAGACCATGGTCCCCACAGCCCTCCACCCAGCAATTCAGTCCCTCAGGGAGTTTGGATGTGTCTATGGAGCTTCCATGACCTTTCTTTATACAAGTTGTGCTGGTTTCCCCTGTATTGTGTACTGTCTCACCCTTCACCAAAGATACCCCTTATCTATTTAGTACCCCCCCACCCTTTCCATCCCTGGTAACCAACAAAGATTGTTACATTTTTTGTGTGAACTTTTTCATGGATTTTTACAATAGAGGTCTCATACTATATTTGTCCTTTTGCGATTGACTTATTTTGAATGGAGAATTTTTTTAACAGTCAAGGAAACAAATACAAATGTTGGGTTTTTATGGGTGATATGAAAGCTTGAAGAAAGAATGTAATTACAGTCTTTGTCCTGGTTTGTCATATTGGAAAAATATATATATATGCACATAAATATATACTCAAATTGAAATGGGAATACGCATTTAAGGGAATGAAAGTTCTGCGATAGTTTCAATTTGTGTCTGTAAGTCCACAGACTTCTTCCTTCAGTTGACTAATTCTTTTTGGTGCAGTGACTCTGTGTATTCCTTTCATCTGCTTTTGATGCTTCCTGCATCATTCAGTATTTTGTCCATAGAATCCTTCAATATTGCAACTCAGGGCTCGAATTTTCTCTTCAGTTCTTTCAGCTTGAGAAATGCTGAGTGCGTTCTTCCCTTTTGGTTTTCTAACTCCAGGTCTTTTCACATTTCATTATAATATTTCATTTTGTCTTCTCAAGCCACTTTGAAATCTTCTGTTCAGCTCTTTTACTTTATCATTTCTTCCATTTGCTTTAGCTACTCTACTTTCAAGAGCAAGTTCCAGAGTTTCTTCTGATATGCATTTGGGTCTTTTCTTTCTTTCCTGTCTTTTTAATGACTTTTTTTTAAAATTGTGATTTAGATGAAGGTCTACAGAGCAAAGTAGCTTCTCATTAAACGTTAACATACATATTGTTTTGTGACATTGGTTGCCAATCCCGTGATACGTCAACACTCTCCCCTTCTCGACGTTGGGTTCCCCATTAACAGCTTTCCTGTCCCCTCTTGCCTTCTCATCCTTGCCCCTGGGCTGGTGTGCCCATTTAGTCTCATTTTGTTTTATGGGCCTGTCTAATCTTTGGCAGAAGGGTGAACCTCAGGAGTGACTTCAGTACTGAGTTAAAAGAGAGTCCAGGAGCCATACTCTCGGGGTTTCTCCAGTCTCTGTCAGGCCAGTAAGTCTGGTCTTTTTTTTTTTTCATTTTAGATGAGGTTTTACAGAGCAAATTAGTTTTTCATTAAAAATTAATACACATATTGTTTTGTGACATTGGTTGCCACCCCCACGACATGTCAACACTCTCCCCTTCTCGACCTTGGGTTCCGCGTTATCAGCTTTCCTGTCCTTCTGCCTTCTCATCCTTGCCCCTGGGCTGGTATGCTCATTTAGCCTTGTTTTGTTTTATGGACCTGTCTAATCTTTGGCAGAAGGGTGAACCTCAGGAGTGACTTCAGTAATGGGTTGAAAGGGAGTCTGGTAGCCATACTCTCGGGGGTTTTCTAGTCTCTGTCAGACCAGTAAATCTGGTCTGTGTGTGTGTGTGTGTGTGTGTGTGTGTGTGTGTGTGTGTGTGTGTGTGTGAGTTAGAATTTTGTTCTACATTTTTCTGCAGCTCTGTCTGGGACCTTCTGTTGTGATTCCTATCAGAGCAGTCGGTAGTGGTAGCCAGGCACCAACTAGTTGTTGGGGACTCAGTCTGGTGGAGGCTGTGGTAGTTGTGGTCCATTAGTCTTAATGACCTTTTGCTGTCTTCATGTATGATGTCACAACTCTTGTGATCTTCGGTTATTTGTGTTCAGTGAGTCAAATTTGTTCTTGAGATGGTCTCTACATTCAGGTGGGATATACTCAAGATCGTACTTTGGCTCTCATGGACTTCAGCTTGAACTTGCATATGAGCAATTGATGCCACAGTAGGCCCCTGGCCTTGTTCTTACTGATGATATTGAGCTTCTCCATAGTTTCTTTTCACAGGTATAGTTGATTTGATTCCTGTGTATTCCATTTGACGAGGTCCATGTGTATAGTCACCGTTTATGATGTTGAAAACAGGTATTTGCAATGAAAATGTCATTGGTCTTGCGAAATTCTATCGCACATCTCCAGCATTGTTTCCATCACCAAGGCCACATTTTCCACTACTGATCCTTCTACTTTGTTTCCAGCTTTCCCATTCCAATCACCAGTAATTATCAATGCATCTTGATTGCATGTTTGATCAATTTCAGACTGCAGAAGTTGGTAAAAATCTTCGATTTCTTCATCTTTGCCATTAGTGGTTGGTGTGTAAATTTGAATAATAATTTATTAACTGGTCTTCATTGTAGGCATATGGATATTATCCTATCACTGACAGCATTGTACTTCAAAGTAAATCTTGAAATGTTCTTTTTGACACTGGATGCAGTGATGTTCCTCTTCAGTTTTTCATTCCCACCGTAGTAGACCATATGATTGTCTGATTCAAAACTGCCAATACTGGTCCATTTCAGCTCACTAACGCCTAGGATATTAATCTTCAAGCGTTCAATTTCATTCTTGACAGCCGCCAATTTTCCTTCATTCATACTTCATACATTCCATGTTCCAGCTATTAATGGATGTTGGCAGATGTTTCTTCTCATTTTGAGTTGGAAGAAGTCCAAGCTACACTGAAGGCATTGGCCAAAAACAGGACTCCAAGAATTGACGGAATACCAGTTGAGATGTTTCAACAAATGGATGCAATGCTGAACGTGCTCACTTGTCTATGCCAAGAAATTTGGAAGACATCTACCTGGCCAACTGATTGGAAGAGATCCATACGTGTGCCCGTTTCAAAGAAAGGTGATCCAACAGAATGCAGAAATTATTGAACAATATCATTAATATCACATGAAGGTAAAATTTGCTGAAGATCATTCAAAAACAGTTGCAGCAATACATCAACAGGGAACTTGGAGGAATTCAAGCTGGATTCAGAAGAGGATGTGGAAAAAGGGCTATCATTGCTGATGTCAGGTGGATCTTGGCTGAAAGCAGAGAATACCAGAAAGATGTTTACCTGTGTTCTGTTTGCTATGTAAAGGCATTCAACTGTGTGGATCATAATAAATTATGGATAAAATTCCAAAGAATGGGAATTCCAGAACACTTAATTGTGCTCACATAGAACCTGTACATAGGCCAAGAGGCAGTTGTTTGAACAGAACAAGGACATACTGCATGGTTTTAAATCAGGAAAGGTGTGCATCAGTGTTGTATTCTTTCACCAAACTTATTCAGTCTGTATGCTGAGCAAATAATCAGAGAAGCTGGACTATATGAAGAAGAATGTGGTATCAGGATTGGTGGAAGACTCATTAACAACCTGTGATATGCAGATGACACAGCGTTGCTTGCTGAAAGCGAAGAAGACTTGAAGCACTTACTGATGAAGATCAAAGACTACAGCCCTCAGTATGGATTACACCTCAATATAAAGAAAACAAAAATTCTCACAACTGGACCAATAAGCAACATCATGATAAACGGAGAAAAGATTGAAGTTGCCAAGGATTTCACTTTACTTGGATCCACAATCAACACCCATGGAAGCAACAGTCAAGAAATCAAACAACGTACTGTATTGGGCAAATCTGCTACAAAAGACCTTGTAAAGTGTTAAAAAGCAAAGATGTCTGTTTGAGGACTAAGGTGTGCCTGACCCAAACCATGATATTTTCAATTGCCTCATATGCATGAAGAACAATTAATGCCTTTGAATTATGTTGATGAAGACTACTGAACATACTGTGGTCTGCCAGAAAACAAACAAATCTGTCTTGGAAGAAGTACAGCCAGAATGCTCCTTAGAAGTGAGAATGGTAAGGCTTCATCTCATGTACTTTGGACACATTATCAGGAGGGACCAGTGCTTGGAGAAGGACATCATGCTTGGCAAAGTAGAGGGTCAGTGAAAAAGAGGAAGACCATCAATGAGATGGGCTGATACAGTGGCTACAACAATGGGTTCGAGCATAGCAACAATTGTGAGGATGGGGCAAGACCAGGCAATGTTTTGTTCTGTTGTATATTGGGTCGCTATGAGTCCAAACTGACTCGTTGGCACCTAACTACAAGTCCACAGAAGAAAGAGATCCTGAGTGAGTTAAGCAGAGTATTTCTGATAGGGAAATCATGAAGTTCTGCTCAGGCTATGGGAAAAGAAAATAGGCAGAACTATTCAGAAAGACAAGAGAGTAGCTGAGTGAAGGGAGAACACAGTGGAGAATATACGCTTAAACTCTATATCCAACTGAAGAAAATGGGTGATTTGACAAATAATGTCCATCAGATAACCCATCACCTAATGATTATTTACCCTTACCTTGCAGGGATTGAGAAGTTCAAAGGACAGTACTTCCACAGTCGAGAGTATAAAAACCCAGAGGCCTTCGCTGGAAAGAGTCATTATAATTGGCATTGGAAACTCTGGAGGCGATCTGGCTGTGGAGATCAGTCACACAGCCAAACAGGTTCGAATCAGTGAATTATTTACTTTGCCTCAACCTAGCTAAGCATCACCAAGGAAGCTGCAGGTAAATCCCACAGAGTGTATGGATACCCACACATAACCCATCAGTGCCAATGGCAAATGTAAGGATTGGTCTCATGACCTCAGTTAGCAATATTATGATTGATGAGCAAAATCGTGTGGGCATTATGAAAGAAGTTTGGGGACCCATGGTGTAAGCCTTCTTTGACACCATTGTCTGGTCAAATGGTCAGTTAAAAGGGAGCTGGACCTTCCCTGCACTGAGGAATTGCAGATTGCCAAAGAGACAGGCACCCAGAATAGGTGGAGATAAGATAGCCATGTCTGAGAATGCCTGGGTAAATGCATAGCAAAACTATGTTTCCAGGGAAGGCGAATTATGTCCCACAACTAATGCAAGCTGAAGAAACTCATTTGCTGGGTTCCAACATTTTGCTTTATGTATTCAGTTGTATTTCTGAGAAGTTGTTTGTAAATCAAAATTTTTAAATGCACTTTTAAATTTCAGTGTGTCAGGGAAGCTTGTATACTTCTTGTGGTATAATGCTTTTGGGAAGAAAAAACATTCTTTTCTCATAAAGCATTCTTCCTTACATTTTTCTCTTATAACTCCAGGTTTGTAAATATTCCACTTGCTTAAAACAAGGTATAGGTGGAAATCCAGAATAAGTATGATAGCCATTATGCATTTATCAAGTGTTTACAGTGTGCCACAATGTTTTTTTTTTTTTTATTGAACTTCAGGTGAAGGTTTACAGAACAAATAGTTTCTCATGAAACAGTAGTACACATGTTGTTTCATGACATTGGTTAACAACTCCACAACATATCAACCCTCTAACTTCTCAAACTTTTTTTTTGGTGAAAATACACATAGCCAAAGATACAC